GCGGAGAAGGTTAGAGGGCGGCACCCGTCGCATACCTAGCTCTAGAACTCAGGCCTGTGGCACGAGCGATTGGGCTATAGTCTTCTAGAGCTACTCACATACCAACCGATCCATCACCGATTCGAATTCAATCCATCCAGGAGAAGAAAATGTCGCAGCTTACGGCGCCAGGTAACAACGAGCAGTCCTTACAAGGATCTCTTCCAAATAATTTCAATTCCTGCTCCCCGTCATAAATCTCCCCCTCGTCTTCAACAAGAGTCCGCGCAATTTATGCACACCACAGTTACACCTTCCGCTAGCTGATTCCGCATTCATCCAGTAATTAACGTAATTAAGCCCAGACATTCCACTAATAATACGCCTGCGAATGCCTCACTGTCACTCCTCACCAAGTTATACATGCATTTAACACGGATTACGCACCAGTACACAGGAATAGATACAGCTATATCAAGTAATCATATATATATATAATATATATATCTTCACAATTAAACACCGAGACTGAAGTACGTGCACACACAACACCGCTGTTTCTACATCGTTGCGTAACCATAACGTCACGTTTAAACAAAACAGGCTGCAATATATTTTTACACCTATCCTTCCTTTATCTACACTCGCACACACACATACACACACACACAACATACACACCACACACACACACACACGACGCAACAGCGACGCCACGCGACGACACACACAGACTGCACACACACCGGCACGCACGCGACGCCACACACACACACACACAGCACATACACACACCACACGCACATACACACACACACGGCCATAACACGCGCACACCCACTCACACCGCACGCACGGCACGCACGAGCGCAGGTCACGCACGCAACGCGCGGCGGCGCGCCACGAAACGCCCTGAGCACGCACACACATCACACACAACACACCCAGCACGCACGCACGCAGCAGCGCACACACACACACCGCAACGCACGGCACCGCACGCATCGCACGGGGGCACCGCACACACACAGCAGCACAACACACACACACACCCCCGCACATACACACACACACACGAACATACACGGCGCACACACAGCTCAGCCACACACGGGCAGCACGGCAACGCACGCACGCGCGCGCCACGGCACAGCACCACGCACGGCACGCACGCACCGGACCTCAGCCCACAGGTCGACAAGCACGCACGCACGCACCAGCACGCACGCACGCACGCACGCCACGCAGTCGCACGCACGCCACACACACACACACCACACAACACACACACATTCCCGTATGGTGCAGCTTACGAGAGAGACGTCGGCTGACGGTGGCAAGAGTCGCATACGAAGCAAGGATCCCTCCCGTTCCGCACTTTGCATATAAATGATGTTATAGCCGCGCATGTTCCTATAGGCAGTGCTATTATATAGGCTGTGATTTTTCTCGCAGATAGGCAAAACTGATTCCACTGATGAATGAATGGCGACAATTCTTCGCGCAAGGAGGGCATCGCGAGGCAGCTGCGACCACGCTTTAAACTCATTGCTATTCACATAGGGGTTCGCGATGATACCCTCGTATAGCCGCTCGATGCCCTCCGCACAGTGGGCGACTGATGTAACAGAGTTCATTGAATAACAGGCGTCCATCTTTTGTTAGGAAACGTTACGTAGGCGGTGCGTTGGCGGAGAGGAAGGTCTCCCGGCTGTCTCCCCGCGCACGGCGCTCGTGATATATATAATAGGCAGGTGTAGAGGATACAAATTATCATCCTACCCCCTGATATGGTAATATATGGTTCAAAATACATGCATGGACGACGTGTGCTAGGCATGGACGCGCAAGCGCGCACGGGAGTCACGTGTGTGGCGTGCATCAAAGGTCGTGTTTGGGTGGTGGGGAGGGGAGGAAACTACCTTCAAAGCAGAGACAACTACCCTTCAAAAAAGCAGTGGACATACTACTTTTCAAAAGAAAAGACGACTAGTACTTCAAACGCAAGAGCGCAACCTATCTCAAAGTCAGAGACGAACTAGACTTCAAAAGCAGAGACGAGCTACATTCCATAAAGCATAGAGACAACTACCTTCAAACAAGCAGCACGACAACATACTTCAAAAGCAGAGACGAGCTACGCTTAAAAGCAGAGACAACTACCTTCAAAAAGCAGAGAAGAAGCTACTTCAATAGCAGAGAGGGACTACCTCCCAAAAGCAGGACGGACTACGCTCCAAAGCAGAGGACGGACTACCTTCAAATGCAGAGACAACTACCTTCAAAGAGAGACAACTACGCTTCAAAAGGCAGAGACGAGGCTACCTTCAAAAGCAGAAGACGGGCTACTTCAAAAGCAGAGACAACTACCTTCAAAAGGCAGAGACGGAACTACCTTCAAAGCAGAGACAAACTACCTTCAAAGCAGAGACAACTACACTACAGAAAGCTAGACAGACGACTACCTCAAAAGCAGAGACTGGCAGAACTACCTTCAAAAGGCAGAGACAACTACCTTCAAAGCAGAGACGAAATACCTTCAAAAGCAGAGACGAAGCTACGCTTCAAAAGCAGAGACAAACTAACCTTCAAAAGCAGAGACGAACTACGCTTCAAAATGCAGAGACGAACTTACCTTAAAAGCAGAGACGAACTACGCTTCAAAGGGCAGAGAGAATAACCTTCGAAAAGAGAGACAACTACCTTCAAAGGCAGAGACAACTCCTTCAACGAAGCAGAGACAACTACCTTCAAAAGCACGAAGCCAACTACCTACAAAAGCAGAGTACGGACTAACCTTCGAAAAGCAGAGACGAAACTAACCTTCAAAAGGGCAGCGACAATCCCTTCCAAAGAGCAGAGACAACTACCTACACAAGAGAACGCAGCTAGCCTTCAAAAGCAGAGACGAGCGCTACCTTCGAAAAGGCAGAGACAACTCACCTAAAAGCAGAGACAACCTACTACAAAAGCAGAGAACGGACTACCTTCAAAAGGCAGAGACGAACTACCGTTCAAAAGCAGAGACAACTACCTTCAAGACAGAGACGAACTACCTCAAAGACAGAGACGTGGCGAGATGGGAGTTGTTGTGCTTGCAGGTGCAGCAGCGGGAGACCATGACGATGAGCTGAATGACCATATGCAGCCGGGAAACCCATCATCTCCTTGTGCGTGCGTGCGTGCTGTAGCGTGCATACAATACAGTAGAATCGAGACAATACTATAGACGTCAGTGCCTTACACGCACGCAGTACGATGCACGCGGAATCCAGCCAATGTGGCATGTCCTGCCATCGATTATCTTCCCGCTGACTGGGTGACCGCCCCCCCCTCGCCCGACCACGCGCCACGTAGATACATACACACGCGGCTTATAATTACATGCCCGGCCAAGTGTACCCATGGCCACAGGGTCAACACTAGGGTGCTGGGGCGCAAGATACCACTCAGCAAATAACACACACAACCCAGACAACACAATACAGCCAACACCTAACACTCATCAGTCCATAGATCTCAGCACTATCAGCTGCCGCCCCCCCCCCCGGTGCGCAATCACCTTCCGCACACGCTATACGGCCAATAATACTTCAGCATAGAGACTAAGGAGTCGACCAAAAGGCCATCCAGTTTGGTGAGAGGTTACTCCTAGTCGATTACGTTATAACACAATGGATGTCAGTCAAACTGATAGTAAATTTATTAAAAACGAGTCATAATCTCTGGCTCCAGCTTTCCTGTACTCTCTCGCATAAGTATCACACGGCTAATCCGTGTTCGCCGAATCACGCCTTAATATATTAGCATTACATTACATTTATTTATCTATAATATATGTGGCTATCCGAATTAATCGGGTGTGGAAGAACACAAATCGCGCTCGACGTTAAATATTAATTACATTATGACCCTAAACTTCAATAAGAATAGCCGGCAAGCTACGGTATATACTGTATGTAATGTATTATATATATACTCCAATATATATTATATATATATATTATATAAATATATATATTATATATATATATAGTGTGTGTGTGTGTGTGTGTGTGTGTGTGTGTGTGTGTGTGTGTGTGTGTGTGTGTGTGTGTGTGTGTGTGTGTGTGTGTGTGTGTGTGTGTGTGTGTGTGTGTCTGTGTGTGTCTGTGTGCGCGCGTGTGTGTGCGTGCGCGAGTGCGTGCGTGCGTGCTGTGGTTTGCTGTGGTCGTCTGCGCTGGTGCGACGCGACAACGCACAATAGAATACGTCTGTTTTCTGCCAATATTTTATCTTGAGAGTATATGGAAAAAATACATTATTATTATAATAATTATTATTATTATTATTATCATCATTATTCATGATTCACTAGACATGTGTTTTTTCTCATTTTACTTGTACATAGCCATCATTTAACCTGGTATTCCTTAATAAAAAAATGCTGTTGTTTTTGGGGGAAGATGCTCGTTGTTTAGTTTCTTTTTTGTGTTCGATATATCATTTAATAAAATAAAAATATAATAAAATATATCGTATAAGGAGAACGAAATGCCCCTAAAATGCAATGTATTCGTAGAAATAACTACGTTTCAAGCAGTGGTTTATAAAACGAAAACATAATACACACATACGATCTGAACAGAATACGAATTGGAAGTTTGGGTGTGTGCGTAGCGTGTTGGATTGCTAGTCAGTAGTCCGGGGTTCAAATCTTGTCAATTACCATAGTAAAATATTTTCTAACTGCTGTTAAGCTAAATATTATAACACATACATCTGAGCTGATCATTGAAGGAATGGTATGTTTGGGTCCGTCCGTAGCGTATCGGGATTGTATCCAATGATCCAGGGTTCAAGTCCAGGCAATCACAAAAGTCAAATATTTTCAGACTGCCATTGGAAGAAATGTAAACATACATTGACCTTGCACTTGGCAAGGATCCTCACCTGATAATGTAAATATTTTGACAATGGTGAAGGCCATGGCCTTGGCCTACTAATGTAAAACTTTTACAACTTTAAAAAGTGGGTCAAGGCCATGGCCTTGAGTTCAAGGCCATAACCTACTTGTGGAAAACGTTTAAAATTAAAAAAGTAGGTCAAGGCCATGGCCTTGAGCTCAAGGCCATGACCTATTTGTGAAAAACGTTTAAAAATGAAAAAGTAGGTCAAGGCCATTACCTTGAGCTCAAGGCCATAGTATTGGGACGAAGTCTTTGTCAAGGTCAGTGTTAATGTCAACACCGCCAGACAACAACAAACCAAACTACCAATGATCTACCGCAAACTTCTTAACAGTGTACGTTACCATTTCTTTGATAATTTTTCGGAAAAGTATCAAATTGTTGATAGCCTTTCAAAAATTAACACCATATATAAAGAGAAATCTCGGGCGTTTTATTTGGAGTATATTTATTTGAAAGCATTTCAATCGTGAACGCACATGCATGGGATTACAATCAGGGTGCTACTTGCTCTAGTTATAGAGCTAGTTGTTCTAGTTCCACAGCTAGATGTTCTAGTTCTAGAGCTACTTGTTCTAGTTCGAGAGCTACTTCTAGTTCCACAGCTAGATCTTCTTGTTCTATAGCTACTTGTTCTAGTTCTAGGGCTACTTGTTCTAGTTCTAGAGCTAGTTGTTCTAGTTCTATAGATAGTTGTTCTAGTTCTAGAGCTAGTTGTTCTAGTTCTGTAGCTAGGTGTTCTAGTTATAGTGCTAGTTGTATGAGCATGAAATGAGAATTTCTGACAACGGGCCGCAGTTGTACACATAAAACGCGAGCCCACATGCTCATACATATGGAATAAAAAAAAAAATACAACAATTTTTTTCTAAAAACACGTGGAATATCAGTATAAAACACTGCATGGTTCGTCTCAGAAGTCCCCCGACGCGAATCGGTGTGCATCATGCTCCCTCTGCTTCCTCCGCTCCTGCGTCTCATCTTCTGCGGCATTCCTCTACCAGGGCGTAAGAGAGGTTCTCACACTACATCAAGGCAAATATTTTTCTATTATTATCATTAACTATGAGGAAACATATGACATCAATTGATTAAGTACTTGATATGATAACTGGAATGATTTTCAAAATAATCAAACATGTAAGCTTAAGAGAAACGTTTACGAAACGTGAAAATGTATTGGATTCATGATTAGCGAAACATGACGTCCAATAAAATAAAAAAGTGACCATATTCAAAGTCTTCGTTATTCATAGAATTAAACAAAACTCGATATCTCTATATATATTAATATATAATCAATGATACGTCAATTATATCCAATTTCAGGAAATTTTGTGATACGAAAACTAGCAAATAAACAATTGCCTTTGTTCCTAGCAGTTCTTGTAATCGGAGTGTGGTAGCCCGTCAGTGATTCTCCATGGAAATGTCGAAATCAAATCTAATGTATAAAGTTATTATTGATTTATATTAATATATAATCAATTATTATATCAACATTTTAATTATCACTTATTTATATACATATAAAAATTATATATATATATATATATATTACATTAATTTATATATAAAGTCATGAGAGTAGAGACTCAGTATAGAGTCATGGTCTCACTAGGGGGCGCTAAGCTTCATGTAGAGAGTCATGGTCTTACTAGGGGGCGCTAAGCTTTATGTAGAGAGACATGGTCTCACTAGGGGGCGCTAAGCTTTATGTAGAGAGTCATGGTCTCACTATGGGGCGCTAAGCTTGATGTAGAGTGGTGCGGTCTTACCAGAGGGCGACGAGCTTGATGTAGAGAGTCATGGTCTCACTAGGGGGCGCTAAGCTTGTTGTAGAGAATGATGGTCTTACCTGGGGACGCTAAGCTTGATGTAGAGTGGTGCGGTCTCACCAGAGGGCGACGAGCTTGATGTAGAGAGTCATGGTCTCACCAGGGGGCTCTAAGCTTTTTGTAGAGAGTCATGGTCTCACCAGGGGGCGTAGAGTGCTGTGACGATAGGTGGCGCTATGATCGGACAGGCTGCTCCTAGACAACAATTCCCTCTGCAAAGATTTTTCATATTAATAACAATGAGGAAACACATGACAGGCAATTGATCAGTACTTGATATAATATAATTTTTAACTTAAGAGCTTAAGAGCACATTTATGAAACGTAGAGGTTTGTTAGCTTTTCTGACTGTCAAAATATGATGGATAATCTAATGAAAAGTTTAGTTAGGATTGCATAGCTGAGATAAGCCCCACATTTCCTTACAGTGTAACGTTACAGGAACCATAGAGAAGCAGGTATGGAGCAAATTTGTTTAGAATTGTTTTCCAATTTTCAGGGTGTTATGTGACAGTATATGAACAAATACAGTTGATTTGCTCTTAGCACTTCTGCAGCCCATCAGTGATTCTCCATAGGAATGTCAAAATCAAATATACTGTATAAATAAACATGTCTGTATGAGTCTATTATTTAGTATGTCATATCCAATATTAATAATTTATTATATATATATAAAGAAACATCTAACAGGTAATTAAGTGATTGATAATATACTGAGTAGGAGTGACCAGGGTGTAGGAGAGATCCTCGCACTACGTCTCGAGATTCTGGCTTCATATAGAATGGTGC